ACACACACACACACATACACACACACACACACACACCTTTTCAACTACCACCAAGGATGATCCATCATAGAATCTCTCTCAAGAATGGGTAGTAGTACTGAATAGACCTGTGTTTTGGTTTTGCTATACACAAGTTTCAGGTGTACCTTCTTACCACAGGATGGAAGACTTTCACAGTTTCTAGTTAAATTTTTGAGGATGTCCTGGATGAATCTTTAAAACTTAATTTCTTTATATCAAACACAATTTAAGTTCTTTTAGGAAACTATTTGTAGAATGATCAGGAGCCCAGAAACTCAGAGATACTGGTGATCTTGTGAGTCTTTAGGAAATCATGGGGAAGTGCATTTATTAGATACGAACATCAATATGGCATGTAAGATTGAGATTTTCTAATGATTCCTAAATTTGTATTAGGGGAATCATAATTATATGAGCAATTTACTTTCTAATTATATTTCCTGTTTTTCTCATTCCTATGCTCAATATAGACCCAATGGATAACTTTTGAATTACATCTATGTTAGTATGAATATGAAAAATATTTATAGAATAAAATATGACATTATTATACAATAGAGTAAAATATTAAAGGACAGAGAGAAGATAAATATAGATTCATGTGACAAAAGAGCTGAGGTGAACAAAAAGAAAATATGAACTGGGGTAAGAAAAACACAAAAACTAAGAACTATCTATGAACATAAGAGGCAAATCATTTTCAGGTTCTTCATCTTTACTTAAATAAATTAAACCTATACATAAAAATTGTTTAAAGTGCATTCTTGGGGCTGGAGAGATGGCTCAGTGGTTAAGAGCACTGATTGTTCTTCCAGAGGTCCTGAGTTCAATTCCCAGCAACCACATGGAGGCTCACAGCCATCTATAATGAGATCTGGGGCCCTCTTCTGGTGTGTAGGCATATATGGGGGCAGATTGTTGTACACATAAGAATAAAAAAATCTTTTTTAAAAAGTTCATTCTTGTGGCTCCAAGAAAATATTATGAGATGCCTTATGAATCAGTCATTCCTCTTCTCCTAGGCCTATTGTCTTTGGAGTAAGCCTATTCACAAGGAGAAGCACATTTCCTTTTTTATTAGTTGTATTAGGTACACATGAAGCAAGCCTAGACATGCTTTGTGTATCAACAAGTAAATGACAAAAGTCCCTTTTCTTCATCCTATATACACACCAGATTACCTTTATTTTTCTTGCAAATGTCATAGTTAGATGTTACACACTTAATTGCCCTTTTGTACACATATCACCAAAAAACTGTATTTAAATATCACAGTAAGATAAGAAAGAGGTGTTATATTGTGTTAGAAATGGCTCTGCCTTGTCTCTAAAACTATAAATAGTTCTGAATATTATTTACCTCTCCAAAAGTGACTAGAAGCTGTTTTTTTTTTGCTGTGAATCTGAACTTTAATCTAACACACTGACTTATGTAGTTTTCTTTTGCCACAACTGCCAAACAAACCGATCACATAACATGCTCAGTAGACTACTGAAAGCTAGAGATACAACTATCTTAAAAGAAACTCTAGCTGAGCATGTACTCCAGCAGCATTTAGAATTTACCAAAGTACAAGCTTACCTATGAGAATCAAAGTAATAGACAAACACATGTGTTTATTTCTAATACCTGGGACACTGTTGTGTATCTCAGTAAAAATAAAACCTTATTTTATTCTTGCAAGAAAATTAAATTATACACAATGTCGATTTCAAATCTGATGCTAGGAGAATCATTTTCAGGTACTACAAGTTCAATGATCATATGATCACACACACTGGAGAGCTCAAAGAACATTTTCTGGAGTGTTGGTCTCTTTCTAATAGCTGTAATTCATAGATGAGGTAATGCAAATGCAATGAAAAGAAAAGAAAGGATTTTGCCTATTCTTTTCATACTGGAAAATGTCAAATCAGTAAATATACCCTTTTTAGAATTATTCATTGTGCCTGCCTGTTAAAATTCTAGTCTTTATAGATACTGCATGCAAACTGACTGTGCTGCTTTGAAGCACCACATAACTCATATTTTAAAAGAAGACAATGTGTATTTGTGTATATTATTTCAATTCCTCCTCATGTAATAATGAACATAAGTAAGAATCATTATATATTTCTACTTTTTTAGGAATGACAATCCTAAATTATTATTCCTAAATAATATTTCTTAGGAATAATAATTGATAGTGAAGCACATGTTAGGCAGAAAGTGCTGATAAAGATGCTCCATGAATTCATAGTTTTTAGAAAGCACAGTACAAAATAGACACCAGCATTACTCCATTAACCCATTGTTGGTGCTGATTCCCTTGGGCTTCTGATTAGTTCGGGCTAGCTTATAGATGTGATGGGTCAATGGAAGTAAGCAAGAGATGTGAATCTTACGAACAAAATGGTGGGAGACATTACAACCAATGTAACATGGTCATCCAGTCATTCTCACTGAATCAACACCAAGTCAATGAAAAGCAGCTGGGTGATACTTAAGGTAGACTAAGCATCAAAGATATTTTTTTCCTTAATGCAATTGCAACTTAAAGCAGTGGCAGACAGAAGCATACATCCCAAAGCAAACATTGGTATGTTACACAATTGGTTAGAAATGAATTCTAATGCTGTGTTTGGAAGAATGATCCAAGATTCCATCCTTTATTTTTGTAACTCTTGACCATCATGGCCAAATCCTCTTAGGGCTAGAATTGAGGTCTGCTGTAGCATAACAAATTGGCACTCACAACCTCTGAGAGCCACAGAAAAAAGTCTAGTTGAGCAGTTACAGGGTGCATTTATCTTTCTCATGACAATTGTTAGGGGAAGCATAAAGTATAACATGAAAATTTGGCTATAACAGATTAGGCTATAGAATGATGAGTTTTATTGCATAAGTTACCTGGTTGTTTTAGTTGGAGTAAAGAAGGTAATTCTTTAACTGCTTTGCAGATGCTTAAAATAAAAAAGGCCAATCTCTCCACTGTGTTTCACCCCCAAAAGAACAACTTACACTTGACATAATAATAGTAACAGAGAGGCTAGCAGTTTACCATGCTGTGTCCATCTTCCTCTTTGACCCCTGCCACATTTTGGGATACCAGATATATTCATTTGTGAAATATGGTGCTCCTCTATGGGGAGCTGTTTATCAGTTCTGCCGTGACAAGCCTCATGCCCTAGGATATATGCAATCAAATGTGTAGTAAAAAGTTTAAGGAAATAAAAAAAGTTTGGAAGTCCCATTCAAGCGATTATTTATGTCCTCCTGTGCACAGAACCTCACAGAAGGTTATATACCACTTAGGCTGGCTGTTCAGAAGACCATTCTATCTAAAAAGAAGGTCATTTCATTTTTCTATGATCTAAAAAAAAAAAAAAAGCCAAAGCTGAATTTTCCACTGTCTGATATCATGCAACTGTGTAATAGGACAACATCCAATTAGCTAAAGCTTCGGGTTTTCATTTTGGTCCATATTCCTGGATTCAAGATGAATTAGTTGTACAAGTCATTGTTAAGCTGAGATCAAATTAAGGGATGAAGAGTTGGAGAAAGAACTCAGTAAGAAAGAATCCTTGCTGCTATTCGAGAGTTTATTACTGTCTGAAGCTCTAGCTCTAGTGTACCAGACTCCTTGTTCTGGTGTCTGTGACACATGCTAGTGCATACACACACACACACACACACACACACACACACACACACACACACACACACACACACACACACACACACACACACACACACACACA